ACAGGGAGTCGCAAGCTGTTTTGCACCCCCCCCCCCCCACCAATGTCAGAATGTTTAAATTCTTAATTGTCTTTTTAATAAAGCAAGTACTGCTGAGCAAGTGCTGCCGAGGCAACTTCTTCCATTTGAAATTCATCAATAATAATGGTTATAAAAAACACAAAAGACATCAATATTTGATATTTTCACTCCATTATATTTATTATACAAGTGTGTTCCTCTCAAAGCAAGCCAGTGTGATGCATTTTCTAAAGAGGACTCTGTCTTGACTTGATTGACTTTAACAGGAACTCATTTAAACATCAGTGTTTTTTTTTTCTTGTCCTAAATCCATGCTATCTTCCATCAAGCAGATCTGAAGGAACGGTTGAGAGCTACTGGAACGCACACAGCCATCCCTTAAATTTTCTGTCCCATTGGCCATTTGCTAGTCATATTCTAGAAATCAAATGAGCCCCCCTTTTTTGTTGTTTGTTTGATGGGCTGTAAGATGGGAGAGGAACAAATAACTGCAGGGTGCACCAGTGTTGCGCGTGTTGAAGCAAATTGAATATGTGCATGCCCGTAGGTCAGAGAGGAATTGTAATAATGTCATTTTGAAGAGTTCCTTTGCTTTGTAGCGTACAGCCCAAGTGCTAAAAAGATGCGACACTCCTCGGGCAGTTCCCCTCATTATGGTTCGGCATCTAAAATGTTGCTGTAATAAAAAAATTGTTCACTCAAGTCTTTCTCAAGAGGTGTTTTCTTAATGTCTCTCATCCTTTTTATTTATCTTTCTCTCCCTTGATGTCAACTTTCCTGTCCTCTCTTCATGACTTTATTTTCACCCTCTCCTTCCTTTGGATTATTATTATTTTTTTGTTTGCGTTCTGCGCTCCTCTGTATTTTTTACTCCTTCATTTATTGTAGCAATGTACTGCAGTACTCCAGACTCCCCACAGCATGGCTTTGTAGTGAGCCAAACGGGGGGACATCTTAACAGCATGGTGCGCTGGGCTTGTGACAGAGGCTACAAGCTGATTGGAAAAGGCGCGGCCGTGTGCAAGAGGACCACTTATGATTACTTTGCTTGGGACGCTCCAGTCCCTGCATGTCAAGGTAAGCGCATCGGTTTTGGCAACCTGTTATTTACAGCCTCCGCCCCCACCCCCATTCTTCTGGTCACCGAATTTGCGACCCTGCTTTCAGACAGGCACATAAAGCACCCAAGAGTCTCAGCTAAGCTCATTTTTTCCCCTCTGTTCTTAGCTGCTGAACTGAATCCAACCTGATTGAGAGCCCGTTTCCTGTCAGCTGGAAGTGAAACAAGAATCAATCCTCTCTCTCCTTCCGTCAATTTCCGCTCCTTCAAATAACTTTGGATAACTAACTATTAGCATGCAGTGTCCGCCTCAGCTGGTTTCGCGGCGAACTTCTCGTGATCTTTGATGTGTGAAGCGTCCGCACTTAGATGCATGTGATTGCATGCGCTCGCACCAGTACGACAGCAGATGGTGCGATCAGTCGCGTTTGATCTTAATGCATTGGAATCAAAATATGTACGTGCAGTATAGTCCACGATTGTAAAAGCGTTTCTCACCTGTGATTGATTCCATCAGTTTGTTAATTGGGTGCAGCTTTCCCAAAGCACACACTTAGCCATGCCTGCAGATGAGCTGATTTATTCACACTGATGATATCCATCTGGTATCTGTTAGATGCCTATGATAACATCCCAGTGATCCCAAGGTTGATGCACATTTCGGACATCCACATTTCCCATGATCAGTGGAGAAAATATTTTACTGCTCTTATTAGTGACTAATTGCCACTAAACAGTGCTCGCAAATGTCAGCTGATTTTTTTATGTTATTTTTTTTTCATGAGGTGGTTAGGGGCACTGTTGCGGCTTCATGCCATGTTGGCAAATTGCCATGTTTGATGAGTCACACTGTGGAATTCTGCTCCATTTGGACATGGATGTGTTCACCTAAGCGTTGCCTATTAGTGCGGCTCCACGTTTGTTTGGTTCCTGAACTCTGCGCAGTTCCTCTTACTTGAAACTAAAGTGAAATACATTGAAACCCACTAGTTCGAGCTTTCGCTTTGGTCTTTTACTTTGAGGTCACAGTAACCCAGATTTGCTTTGAGCTGTTTCTTTGTGCTAGTTTTCCGGTGAGTGAGAACATCTTACTTTAGGAAAAGTTTGGTGCTGAAAGTAGTTGGAGGTCAGGTTGGGCAGTCCATTTTTTTTAAATACTGTTAAGCTCTTGCATTATATTGCAATATATTTTTATTATGGCCTAGAAA